GTTTCAAATGTATGTATTTAATAGGAGCAGTAGAATCCTAATGTGAAAGAAAGGCCAACCCCCGGAGCGAATAGGACTGCTGCCATGAGGGGTTGGCATGCCATAGCAAGCAAATGGATGCAGTTGGATTGAATTCTGGGAAAATTAACAGACTACTGGTGAACCATGCTGAGGGAGCACGGCAGTGTCTTTTCCCATCCACCTTCCCCATTGGTCCTGGAATTGTTGTTTTGTGTTATGTTTTTCTTTGTTTTCTAATTTTGTCACAGTTGCGGCTTTCCTGCGCCAGCAAGTTTGGTAAATGAATAATGCTTGGACAGGCCAGGGGAGTCGCAGCCTAAATTTGGTTGATGATGAAGGACAGGCTGAAGAAGCTCTGGAAGAAGTTTAAAGTGTACCGGTCTGTTGGGTAAAACCAGCAGCTGACAGTATTTGGTTGGGCTGGTTTAAATAAAGCTGTGGCCTTTTCCCTTACCCACTTAACATGGTGTTGCATTACTTATTGGGAATGGAAGGGTAACGGGATTTGGTGATCAAAGGAGTCAGCAGTCATGTAATGCGTAGACAAGGTACTGCATATTTATGCTCTTTGCCAGTGTTGTGGAGCATCAGTGGGGGCATCCGTTTATATGTTGGACTACGATTGTGTCAAAGTCTTGTTGCGTTGGAATCATTCAGAGTTATTCACTAACATGAGACTTCAAGGTGAATTCAAAGTGAATTTCAAAATCAAGGTATAAATAGCCGACCTGGAAACATGCTATGCTTCCATTTTAGCTACTTTGGCCTTGAATTGAAATTTACTTTTAATTCTCACTTTAGTGAATGATCCTATATCATGTATAAAATATATATCTATATCAATATATAAAATATATAAATGTATAAAAATCAATATATAAAATAGAAATTAAAATATAATTTAAAAAAATTAAATAAAATATTTTTCATAAAATGTAATAATTTTAAACGTTTATCCAAAATATTAAATAAATTAGCTATTAACCCCTTAAGACTGGAGGGCATACTATTACGCCCTATTTTAGGTGGCTCTAGATGCCGCCGGGCGTAATAGTACGCCCTCCGTTTTTTCTTTACTTACCCGGGAGCCCCACGCGGCAGATCTAACCCCCTGCAGCCCCCCCGGCCATGTGAGAGTGAGGTCCTTGCGAGGACCTCACAATCACATGGCCGGGTTAGCTGCCTGCTGTAATGACAGGTAGTCCCCGTGTTGGCTGAATTAAAATAAAATAAAAGTTTATAAAGTGTAAAAAAATAATAAAAAATTATATATATATATATATATATATATATATATATATACTTATATACACATATACATACACACACACACATATACTGTCTGGGTGTATTTTACTATTAATATATATATATATATATATATATATATATATATATATATCTCAAATTACACGTAGACTGATACTGATTAAATGTATATATAATTATTGTTATATATATATTTATATATAATATAAAAATATAAATATGTAAATACGTAAAAAAATTAAATTAAAAAAATAATAAAAAAAATAATTAAAAAATATATAGATGTGTGTTATTTCATTCTAACTGTATTGTGCTATTAATATATATATATATATATATATATATATATATCAAAATACACGTAAAACAAAATCATATATATATCTATATACATAAATATATACGTATATCTCACTATATATATACCTATATATAAATAAAAATATTTGAAAAAAATTATATATATGAATATATATACAGGGAGTGCAGAATTATTAGGCAAATGAGTATTTTGACCACATCATCCTCTTTATGCATGTTGTCTTACTCCAAGCTGTATAGGCTCGAAAGCCTACTACCAATTAAGCATATTAGGTGATGTGCATCTCTGTAATGAGAAGGGGTGTGGTCTAATGACATCAACACCCTATATCAGGTGTGCATAATTATTAGGCAACTTCCTTTCCTTTGGCAAAATGGGTCAAAAGAAGGACTTGACAGGCTCAGAAAAGTCAAAAATAGTGAGATATCTTGCAGAGGGATGCAGCACTCTTAAAATTGCAAAGCTTCTGAAGCGTGATCATCGAACAATCAAGCGTTTCATTCAAAATAGTCAACAGGGTCGCAAGAAGCGTGTGGAAAAACCAAGGCGCAAAATAACTGCCCATGAACTGAGAAAAGTCAAGCGTGCAGCTGCCACGATGCCACTTGCCACCAGTTTGGCCATATTTCAGAGCTGCAACATCACTGGAGTGCCCAAAAGCACAAGGTGTGCAATACTCAGAGACATGGCCAAGGTAAGAAAGGCTGAAAGACGACCACCACTGAACAAGACACACAAGCTGAAACGTCAAGACTGGGCCAAGAAATATCTCAAGACTGATTTTTCTAAGGTTTTATGGACTGATGAAATGAGAGTGAGTCTTGATGGGCCAGATGGATGGGCCCGTGGCTGGATTGGTAAAGGGCAGAGAGCTCCAGTCCGACTCAGACGCCAGCAAGGTGGAGGTGGAGTACTGGTTTGGGCTGGTATCATCAAAGATGAGCTTGTGGGGCCTTTTCGGGTTGAGGATGGAGTCAAGCTCAACTCCCAGTCCTACTGCCAGTTCCTGGAAGACACCTTCTTCAAGCAGTGGTACAGGAAGAAGTCTGCATCCTTCAAGAAAAACATGATTTTCATGCAGGACAATGCTCCATCACACGCGTCCAAGTACTCCACAGCGTGGCTGGCAAGAAAGGGTATAAAAGAAGAAAATCTAATGACATGGCCTCCTTGTTCACCTGATCTGAACCCCATTGAGAACCTGTGGTCCATCATCAAATGTGAGATTTACAAGGAGGGAAAACAGTACACCTCTCTGAACAGTGTCTGGGAGGCTGTGGTTGCTGCTGCACGCAATGTTGATGGTGAACAGATCAAAACACTGACAGAATCCATGGATGGCAGGCTTTTGAGTGTCCTTGCAAAGAAAGGTGGCTATATTGGTCACTGATTTGTTTTTGTTTTGTTTTTGAATGTCAGAAATGTATATTTGTGAATGTTGAGATGTTATATTGGTTTCACTGGTAATAATAAATAATTGAAATGGGTATATATTTGTTTTTTGTTAAGTTGCCTAATAATTATGCACAGTAATAGTCACCTGCACACACAGATATCCCCCTAACATAGCTATAACTAAAAACAAACTAAAAACTACTTCCAAAAATATTCAGCTTTGATATTAATGAGTTTTTTGGGTTCATTGAGAACATGGTTGTTGTTCAATAATAAAATTAATCCTCAAAAATACAACTTGCCTAATAATTCTGCACTCCCTGTATATATATATATATATATATATATATATATATATATATATATATATATATATATACATACGTATATATATATACATATATTAATTCTACATATATATTTATGTAATATTTTTACATAATTAGGTACTTGATTACAATTAGCGGGACCTGCCTGACAACCCATGCCGAAAGTAAAGGGAATTTAATTTGCTAGCACTATATTTAGCCCTATAACTTTCCAAGACACCATAAAATCTGTACATGGGGGGTACTGTTCTACTCGGGAGACTTCGCTGAACACAAATATTAGTGTTTCAAAACAGTAAAATGTATTAAAACAATGATATTGCCAGTAAAAGTGAAGTTATTTGCATTTTTCACGCACAAACAGCACTTACACGGACGATATTATTGCTGCGATACTTTTTACTGTTTTGAAACATAAATATTTGTGTTCAGCGAAGTCTCCCGAGTACAACGGTACCCCTCATGTACAGGTTTTATGGTGTTTTCAAAAGTTACAGCATCAAATATAAGGCTTGTGTTTCATTTTTTTCACATTAAAATTCGCCAGATTGGTTAGGTTGCCTTTGAGACCCTATGGTAGCCCAAGAATGAAAATTACCCCTATGATGGTATACCATTTGCAATAGTAGACAACCCAAGGTATTGCAAACGGGGTATGTCCAGTCTTTTTTAGTAGCCACTTAGTCACAAACACTGTTTGTAGCCAGTGTTTGTGACCAAATGGCTACTAAAAAAGACTGGACATACCCCATTTGCAATACCTTGGGTTGTCTACTATTGCAAATGGTATGCCATTATGGGTGTAAATTTCATTCCTGGGCTACTATACTGTCTCAAAAGCAACGTAACCAATCTGGCGAATTTCAATTTCAAATGTAACATGCTATATTTGACCCTGTAACTTCCCAAAATGCCATAAAACCTGTGCATAGGGCGTATTGTTTTACACGTGAGACTTTGCTGAATACAAATATGTATATTTTATTGCAGTAAAAGCAACAGTATTATTACATTGACAGTTAAAATGTCATGTAGAACTAAAAAAATAAAAAAATCTTATTTTCTCCCATTTTTTTTCATATTAACTTATGTTTCATAGCTAAATATTTGATATTAAATGAAAGCCCTGTTTCCCCTGAATAAAATGATATATAATAAGGGTGGGTGCATTTACTATGAAAGAGGTGAATTACGGTTGGACAGACATGTAGCGCAAATGCCAGGTTTTGTTTACATTTTGTTTTGTTCACAACGTGTACATTTGGCTCAGTCCTTAAGGGGTTAAATCAAGCTTATTTAGCAATATTAAATCAAGGTTTAAGTTAGATCAAGAATAAAGTAGAGGAGGTAACTTTATTCTCTTGGGGGAAGCCAGTACAGGCAGAAAGTGATGGAGGGTAACTGGGTCAAATGAATATTCTTGGAGTAATGAGAGGTCATAATTGCCAGATTAAAGTCTTACAAGTAGGGCATGAAACTATTTTAAGATTTGCAACAGGATGCAGGGATTCTGTGTATATTTCTGTCCTGCACTCTTATCAAAGTAGGACTAGGCAAACTTCTGTCTATCACTATAGAAAACCAAAATGAAGAATGGTTAGTAGTGATGTCCCGAACGGTTCGCGGACAGTTCGCTGCGAACGGTTCGCCACGGACTCCAGTCAGCAGACACATTCCAGCCAATCAGCAGCAGACCCTCCCTCCCAGACTCTCCCACCTCCTGGACAGCATCCATTTTGAAGCTGCATTCTTAGTGAGCTGTCCAGGAGGTGGGAGGGTCTGGGAGGGAGGGTCTGCTGCTGATTGGCTGGAATTTGTCTGCTGACTGGAGTCCGTGGCGAACCGTTCGTGGTGAACCGTGACGAACTGTTCGGGACATCACTAATGGTTAGTCCTTCCACCTAGTCAAGAAATACTCATCCTTTACCCAAAAATATTATAATAACCTGAAAATATTAGAGTGCTGGAAACCACCATTTCATGTAGTACATGCATTGCAGGTATGTAGATGTTCGTTATGGAACTTTAGTGTTTTAGTAAAAGTTTCTATCCTCTCTTAATAATTGGACTTCAGAAATAACTCAGGAAAAGAGGAAAGTGATTTTTCAACTGCTAACCTAACCTAACCTTTCTACACTGAAACTCAAGCAAGTATTAACACAATAATTGTTTCTGTTATGAAAGTGCCAAAAGCATGTGCAGCACTATACTATGGGTATATAAAAATGAATATAATATGTTGTAATGCAGATCTCTCTGCCAACATTAAGGTATTTTGATACTGTTGTGTTATTGTTAATCTAACTCATGGACTAGAAGCTTTGGTGCATTGCATTGTCTCACTAATGTTCTTTTTGTAAATTTACCCCCAACTGTTTATTGAATAACAGAAATCATAATTGTGGTTAAAGTCAAGTATGTGTTTGGCAGTGACAAACAGGAATTAGATAATGTGATGATGAAGCCTTCTATCTGTCATTTCCTGAGGTAAATTTGAATGTCAAAGGTTCTTTTCATTTTTCCCCCCAGAAATGTTTGCCAAGTTCACGTCCAAATTAAAAAAACAGCGTTGAACTTATTCCAGTTGTAGTGCCTTTGCTGTTGTCCAGTGTTGGAACACAGAGATGTGTTAACAAAGCCATCTTTGTGCATATGTGATATCATATATCAGTAAAAAATAACTTTGACGTGCTGTTAAAAAATGTTTAAAAAAAAAAGAGGAAAAAACAGAACAAAACAAGGAACATATCTCTATTCATAATAACATATCTTTATTTATTTCAACAAAGAGTGGAGAATGTAAATTATGAAAAATCTGATGAAAAACCCTGAGCTTGGTAAGGTATACTTGTGCTGGCTCTATGGGGGATTAGCTTGATGGATAGTGTTGCTACTTCATTGTATCATGTCCTTGTAACCAGAACCCAACTTCTAGGGGTCAAATAAAATTAGTCCTATTAATTCATACGTTCTATGTGACAAGGAGCAATTGAAGATTAGTGACTGACTTATTGGTTAAATACTTTTTTTTTGGGAAATTTCCTTTGAACAAATATTAGATGGATTCCCTGCCTTGCTGCGCTCGTCTATGTTCAGGGAAATTTCCCCGAACATAGATTAGAGGGATTCCCCTCTCTGGTGTGCTTGTCTATGTTTGGGGAAATTTGCCCAAACGTAGAAATACGCACCAGAGCAGGGAATCCCTCTAATCTGTGTTCTGGGAAAATTTCCCGAACATAGACCAGCTGACTAACATGGGGAATCCCTAAAACCCCACGCTAGAGAGCTGGTCGTAAGTGCAAGCCATCGCAAAGTGAGGAACACCTGCATTAAACAAATAATTACATTTTCATATCGCATCATCTCACAGGTTTTAAAACTTTATTGCAACAAAAAACTTTTAGCTTATATAGTTTTAACTTGGATAATAATGATCCAGAAGAAGAGACAATAAAGCTAATTATCATAGCAGTTGAATCTTGGAATTAAACCTTTTTTTGTGCACACAATTCTTTTTTGTTATTTTCCTGTTATTTTCCTTTTAGTTATTCTCCTCAAAATTACAAAATGTAGGCCTTAGCTAAATAGCTCAGGTGGAATTTAGGCCATGATAGCTGAGCTGTAAAAATAGCTGGAATAGAAAATGTATCAAATCTAACCATTTTGGCCTTTAAGTAAAAAATATTAGTACAATTAAAAATATGTACCACATCCTCAATCTGTATCATTTTGTAATGGACACATGTAAGAGAATAACCTTTTAGTATTTCTGCTGGCTTACCCTGGCTCCAAGGTGGCAGCATTCATTGATCAGAAACACCACCTATCTGCTAAGAGCACGCACAATTTGAAGAAAAAAAAACATCCTAAAGTGTAATTTTTAGATGTCCAGCACTGGCACATTAAGTCATGGTTTATGAATGCACAATAGGTGTCAATGCCACAGTCCTGGATAAAACACAGAGCATCCACAAGTGCATCATGAAGATGGCTGCCAAATACGAACTGCTAAGGGAATGGATGAAACAACAACAGGTAGAGGATAGAGAAAAGGAGGAGGTTCTATGGCAAGCCAAATCTCTCAGTCGGATGCACCTCTGGCAGACTTGGCTTACATAAAATTATACCAGTGGTTGGAAAAATCAGGACTGAAGGCACTAATCCTAGCAGCACAGGAACAAGATCTTGGCTCCAGTTCAATAGAATCGCGGGTCTCCTATACCAAATAGGACCCATGGTACAGACTGTGAAAAGTGGCCTCCAATAAAATCCAGCACATAGTAGCAGGAACAGCATAGACTGAGAGGAACAACCAAGTTGCTTGGATTATGTACCAAAACATTTGTACAGAATATGGGCTGGACATGTCTAGAGTCAGATGAGAGATAGTACAAAGGGTAGTTGAGAATGACAGGGCTAAGATCCTGTGGGACAGACTAGCAACAAACTCAAAATCTTGGTGGTAGACAACGAACGGAAGACTGCACTGCTGTTGGATGTGGCAATACCTAGTGACCATAACATCAAGAAGAAGGAACATGAGAAGATAAGAGAATACCAAGAGCTAAAAGAGGAGATAGAAAGGATGTGGAAGGTGAAGGCAGCAGTAGTACCAATTATGATAGGAGTACTTGGGACTGTGACCCCCAAGTTGTGGGAGTGGCTTTAACATATGATATGTGGGACATCTGACATCTCTGTCCAGAAGAGTGCAGTTCTAGAAACAGGAGAGAGACCGCACAGAACCTACAGACTGCCAGGCCTCTGGTAGAGGACTGGAGAATTAGGAAAACATGAAAAATATTACCCCGAGGGGTGAGAGAATCTATTGATTATAACATATATGTTTTAGTAATATACGTTATTCAAGATGCATTGTTAGTAAAATATTGTCCTCTTTGGTTTACAATTAATTTTGTATTCTCAGAATTGTGAATTTTGTATTGGAAAGAGAACATACTTTTTCATGGATAAATATCTGTTTACAATTTTAAAGTGCAAGCTTTGATTTGATCAAAACATGGATAGTAATCTGATATTCCCTTAGTTATTGTTTAACTGCAAACCCCATAATCCTCAGGGAGCATAAGGCTGTACACAGGCTGCTTAAGGTTCAGACATTGCAATGTAACAGCTAGGGATCTGCTTATTGACTCACCCATTTTTTGGTGTTCTGAGATCATCTTCTCAAATGATGAAACAGCAAATCATCATCATATTTTTGAGGCGGGGAAAGAGTGCTTGTGCTATACAAAATCAATTACATTTATATCAGCAATTACTGAATGCAGGGCTGGATTTGCAATTAGGAACCCCCCACCTTCCCCAAAAAAAGAATAAAAAAGAGATTTTCTGTAAAGTACACACAATGTTTTCAGATGTAAAGTTATACACCCTTGATACAGACAGGGAATAGTGTCAGCATTGGGGGACTAAACTCCTTTTAAGAACAATATTATATTTTATTTAGGTTTTGAAGTGACATTTGTATAAATCATCATTAGATTAACAGCAGCAAATAACAGAACAATAACTCTGGCCAACGATATTAAACTAAAGTTCAAATTGTTTTTGTGCCATCTATGAGTCTGCCATCTTAACTATCCCCTGGTGACTTTGTGGCCACACATAAAGCAGCAAGCCAATGGCACATTCCTTCCAAATGTCACGAGGTAAAAGTTCTAGCAAATAACTTCTGTTGTTGTGTATTCACATTTCTTTTATTTTCTTGTTACATTGTGTGTTGTTTACCCCTTTTTCTGTAATAGGATAAAAAAAAAAGCATTAATCGCCCGGGTCATTTGCAATCTTTAATTTTATACATCCAAGAAATCTGTTTTATAATGTTAATTTCTTGAGTTCATTGCTAATCCATAATATGACCTCTAATGTAAAGTTGCATTTGTGTTTGGCAGTTTGTTTGAAGATAATTCAAAGGACTTTATAATTAAGAACTAATGTAGAATTTGTTTTCCAACTCTAGCGATAATGACATAACTAAGGATACCGTAAAAAAATCTAGCACCCTCAATTTACGTAAATGTAGCCTCTGTTTAACATCATTATTGATAAATGGCTAAACCCATCATCTATCCATTTTCCACTTGGTGCATTTATCATAATGGTTCATATCTAAAATGTATTTAAAGGACCACTCAAGGCACCCAGACCACTTCAGCTTAATGAGAGAAACTGCTATGTTTATAAATGGGTTAATCCAGCCTCTAAAGCCTCTAGTGGCTGTCTCATTGACAGCCGCTAGAGGCGTTTGCGTGCTTCTCACTGTGAAAATCACAGTGAGAAGACGCAAGCGTCCATAGGAAAGCATTATGAATGCTTTCCTATGAGACCGGCTGAATGCGCGCGCAGCTCCTGCCGCACATGCGCATTCAGCCGAAGAGGAGGATCGGAGGCGGAGAGGAGGAGGAGAGCTCCCCGCCCGTCGCTGGAATAAAGGTAAGTTTTAACCCTTTCCTCTCCCCAGAGCCCGGCGGGAGTGGGACCCTGAGGGTGAGGGCACCCTCAGGGCACTATAGTGCCAGGAAAACGAGTGTTTTCCTGGCACTATAGTGGTCCTTTAATATGTGTACAACTAATTATGAACCCTCTGGTTTCACAACAAAGTTCTCGATTCAACACCTGCAACTGCATTTTTCTCTAACTACATCCTGTCCAAACAAGTTGAAAAATGCACCATTCATGCCACAACACTTAAACATTCATGTACAGTTGTAATCAAAATTATTCAACACCCATTGGATTGCGGTATGAATATTACTGAACTGAAGGCATTGCCTGTGAGCAATAGACTAAGGTTCCTC